ATCATTATGAAGTGTTGTGCTGTGGTCAGTCAAACAAACGGGCTTCCCCCGGATAAATTGTCATTTTTTGGGAAAAGGTGTCCGCTCCTTGTGCAATATCCCGAATAGCTACAACAGTATTTAAAAAAGAAAGTGTTTTTGGGTATGCCCCCCAAAAGAGGGAAAAATTTTGGATAAAACACAAGGGTTTTTAAAAGAGGATAACATCAAAGCTGCTTTCATAAAAAAACCTGGAAGCTTTCTACAACAGATGGGAACATAAAAAGTCTGGGCTGAATGGTACTGCCCTTGATACTGGCCATGTAGTCACAAACTGTAAGGCTGGAGGTGATTTTCCGGGTAGTCAGTAAATGTGGGGCTGATAGTGCTGTCCGGGGAGACAGTAATGGTGAAGATGGAGGTGCTGTCCTGGGAGACAGAAATGGTGAAGCTGGGAGATACTGTCCTGGGAGACAGAAATGGTGAGCTGGAAATACTGTCCTGGGAGACAGTAATGGTGAAGCTGGAGATTTGTCCAGGTAGTCGGGAATTATACGCAGGAAGGAATACATATAAATGACCTCATAGAGGACAGGAGCCATAGTAGGGAAACAAGTGTAAGTAAAAGATAAGATAAAACCAATATTGCAAATAGAAATCCCGCAGGAAATAGCAAACAAGAGGACTCCAATAGCAATAGTGAGGATAAATTACCAAAAACAACTGGTGGGAGCTCCATTGTTGGTGCTAGGGAGGAAAGGAATAAGACAGGGAAACATGCACCAACAGGGAATACAGTCACAGAAACCCAAGGCAAACGGAAACCAAGCCTGTGCACATACTATGCACTTGGTATCTGCTGGCATGGGAAATCTGGAAAAACAGATGGGACATGCAACTATGACCACCCTAGAAAATGTCATGACCATATGACAACAGGAAAATGCAAACTCCCTTCCTGTAAGCTTTTTCACCCTGAAATGTGTACCTCTTCAGTACAGGAAAGACTGTGCTATAACTTAAATTGCCAGGAAATACCATCTAAAGGGGACAAAAAGATACAAAACATCCAGGCCATGGGAAAACCTGGGTAGCCACAGCCACTCAAGAGGGAGAGGTTTTTTAGTGCCAGGAATGAAAAAAACTGGCAGGAAATGGCAAAAAATCGTACACCAAATCCAGTCATTCCTGGAGTGGAACCACAGTCGATGGCCTCCACTCCAAACCAACAGATACAGACACTAATGCCGGAAAAAAAATCCCCCCCCAGTACCAACAATACCACCAGTCCGATAACATTCTTCTTTGCAAATATACAGGTCTAAAGCCAGCAACAAACAACAAAATACCTTTCATCCGTGGACTGCTTGCAGAGGCAAAGGCAATGTTCACGGCTTTCACTGAGATCCACATAAAGGATCACTTGGACAACGAAATATGGATCCCAGGTTACAACCTATACAGATGTGACAGAGTGAACAGGCAAAAGGGGGGGGTTGGCCTGTACATTGCAGAGTCACTTGTTTGCACAGAACTGCTTAATGCCTCAAATGACGTAGTGGAAGTTTTAGCAGTAAAGGTCGAGAACCAAAACCTAGTCATTGTGGTAGTCTACAAGCCTCCGGATGCAACATCCCAGCAATTCCAGGAACAGCTGTTAAAAATTGACCACTGTCTGGAAAATCTTCCAGCTCCTGCACCCAACATCTTGCTCCTGGGGATTTCAAATTAAGGCACCTAAAATGGAGGAATATAGCATATAATATTGTTGCAGTAATTACACCAGGAGGCAGCTCTGATGAAAACTCACACTCACACGAGCTTTTAAATCTCTGCACAAAATTCAATTTAAACCAGCAAATAATAGAGCCTACTAGACTGGAGAATACACTAGACCTCATCTCACTAACAATGATGATCTATAAGAAATGTCACCATATCAAAAACAATATACTCAGATCACAACATAATTGAGGTTCAGACATGTATGCGAGGAGCCCCAGACCGACAAAATGAGACTAGTCACGAGGGAGCATTCACCAAATTCAACTTAAATAACAAAAACAAAAAGTGGGCCCAAGTAAACCAAGTCCTAACCGATATAAGCTGGGAAGATAAACTAAGCAACACAGACCCAAACTTATGCCTAGAACAGATTAAACTCGGTGGCACTCGATGTATGCACAAGGTTTTTTTTCCCTCTAAGAAAAAGGAGGAGTAGATGTAAAATAGAAAGAGACAGGCGCTCCCTTTACAGGCGACGGAAAAGAATAACAGAGCGGCTAAAAGAGGTCAATAATCTGAAATGCGTAGGGAGACACTGGTCAGAGAAATAGCAAGCATCGAACTTAAGCTAAAAGAACCCTTTTAGAGTCGGAATCGCGGAAGAACTAAAACCCAAATAAATGAAAATCGAAAGAAACCCAAAGTATTTCTTCTCCTATGCCAAATCAAAATCGAGAACAACGTCCAGTATTGGGCCCCTACTTAAAACAAGATGGGTCCTACACAGATGACAGCAAGGAAATGAGTGAGCTACTCAAGTCCCAATATGACTCAGTTTTTAGCAAGGCCGCTAACCAGACTGGAGTCGAAGATCAAAATGAATTTTTTTGAGAGAGCCACAAAATTTGATTAACACAAGCCTATCCGATTTTTATCCTGACGCCAAATGACTTCAAAACAGGCGATAAATGACATGCCCAAGCACTCTGCCCCAGGGCCAGACTCATGGAACTCTGTGTTCATCAAGAACTGCAAGAGAGCCCCTATCACGAGCCTTTTCCATCCTATGGAGAGGGAGCATGGACACGGGGGTCGTCCATCAGTTACTAAAAACAACAAGACATAGCCCCACTCCACAAAGGGGGCAGTAAAGCAACAGCAAAGAACTACAGACCAATAGCACTAACATCCCATATCATAAAAATCTTTGAAAGGGTCCTAAGAAGCAAGATCACCACCCATCTAGAAAAACCCCTCAGTTACACAACCCAGGGCAACATGGGTTTAGAACAGGTCGCTCCCGTCTGTCTCAACTACTGGATCACTACGACAAGGTCCTAAATGCACTAGAAGACAAAAAGAATGCAGATGTAATATATACAGACTTTGCAAAAGCCTTCGACAAGTGTGACCATGGCGTAATAGCGCACAAAATGCGCGCTAAAGGAATAACAGGAAAAGTCGGTCGATGGATCTATAATTTCCTCACTAACAGAACACAGAGAGTAGTCGTCAACAGAGTAAAGTCCGAGGCAGCTACGGTGAAAAGCTCTGTTCCACAAGGCACAGTACTAGCTCCCATCTTGTTCCTCATCCTCATATCCGACATAGACAAGGATGTCAGCCCCAGCACCGTGTCTTCCTTTGCAGATGACACCCGAATCTGCATGACAGTGTCTTCCATTGCAGACACTGCAAGGCTCCAGGCGGACATCAACCAAATCTTTCAGTGGGCTGCAGAAAACAATATGAAGTTCAACGATGAGAAATTTCAATTACTCAGATATGGTAAACATGAGGAAATTAAATCTTCATCAGAGTACAAAACAAATTCTGGCCACAAAATAGAGCGAAACACCAACGTCAAAGACCTGGGAGTGATTATGTCGGAGGATCTCACCTTCAAGGACCATAACATTGTATCAATCGCATCTGCTAGAAAAATGACAGGATGGATAAGAGAACCTTCAAAACTAGGGAGGCCCAAACCCATGATGACACTCTTCAGGTCACTTGTTCTATCTAGGCTGGAATATTGCTGCACTCTAACAGCACCTTTCAAGGCAGGTGAAATTGCCGACCTAGAAAATGTACAGAGAAACTTTCACGGGGCGCATAACGGAGATAAAACACCTCAATTTAAATGGGAGCGCTTGAGTTTCTAAACCTGTATTTCCTGAACGCAGGAGGGAGAGATACATGATTATATAAAACCTGGAAAATCCTAGAGGGACTTAGTACCGAACTTGCACACGGAAAATCACTCATACGAAAGCAAAAGAACTTGGCAGACGATGCACCATCCCCCCAATGAAAAGCAGGGGTGTCACTAGCACGTTAAGAGACCATACAATAAGTGTCAGGGCCCCGAGACTGTTCAACTGCCTCCCAGCACACATAAGGGGGATTACCAACAGACCCCTGGCAGTCTTCAAGCTGGCACTGGACAAGCACCTAAAGTCAGTTCCTGATCAGCCGGGCTGTGGCTCGTACGTTGGTTTGCGTGCAGCCAGCAGCAACAGCCTGGTTGATCAGGCGCTGATCCACCAGGAGGCCTGGTCACAGACCGGGCCGTGGGGGCGTTGACCCCCGAAACTCTCTCCAGGTAAACTCCAGGTGTGTTGGTCATCACTAGGGTGTGCTAGTCATCACTAGGGTGTGGTGGTCTATCACACGGAGGTATTAGTTATCACTGTGTTAAGATACAGTATGGCACTAGTACGAGACTGTGAGGTGTTTACTATTAGAGTGAGAACTATTACTAAAGGTGAGTAACACAAGTGTGAGATGTCTCATTAAGGTAAAGTTTATCTAGGGTGAGAGAGGATGTTACTAAAGTAATGTCTACATGACACTTAAGAAATTAAGAAGTAACTGCTAGTCACTCATGTTGTCGATACCAATGGTAAGTTGTCACCCTTAATGATACCAACTTTGAGAACACAACTACATGACCATTTGAGAATTGGAGGATCACTTGCTATAGCTAATTTGTTAGAATTAAAGCCTATTGACTGTATGAAGGAATTTATGGTTGCAATTTACCAATAAACTAACATCAAGATACATTAATTTTTCAAATAAATATTAAAGTAAGTGTATATACATTTATTAGTATTTATACATTATCATCATTCACAAATAAGAGACTAATCTTCAGATGACCATCTCAGTCTGTGCTGGACAATTACCAGGTCATGATGAATGTTTCACCATGGAACAAAATGCCTGATGATTTGTTTTCAATATGAGAGTTTGCTTTGAACTGCTCCATCCATGGTTGCTTTCAATTGTTCCATCCATAGTGGCTTTGAACTGTTACATCCATGGTGGCTTTGAACTGTTGCATCCATGGTGGCTTTGAATTGCTCCATCCATGGTAGCTTTGAATTGTTCCATCCATGGTGGCTTTGAATTGTTCCATCCACGGTAGCTTTCAACTGTTCCATCCATGGTGGATTTGAACTGTTCCATCCATGGTGGCTTTGAACTGTTCCGTGCATGGTAGTGTGACAGTCATTCTTACATTCTCGTAACTTGGTTGAAGACTGAGGCTGTCATGGCTCGTCCACTGTTCATTATGCCAGTATGTTCTCTCAGTCTGGTGGTGTTCTTGAGGCACGGACTGCTGCCACCACGGACACGGACACCGTGTGTTGTAGAGTGGTGGGTGTATTGGCCAGATACTACAGATTTCATGAGAGATTACCTGAAGATAATTTCAGTGGTCACCATCCCTGTGGTGCGGCCACTGACAAGGTATCCTTGTTGATGGCCTGTTTAACCAGGCTGTTGGTGCTATCCACATGCAGTCCAATATAGGTACCAAAACTTAACTCATCATAAACCAGCTTGAAAACTTGTCAAGTTTCCTTTTGCACAGAGGGTTTTTGGATAATTTTCCTTATACATGAAAATCATCCAAGTTATGATGGCTATGTATACCTGCAGGTCACTAGCAGCAGCAGCAGGTCACGGTCAGACAACAATAAAGTCAGGCCACAGGCTAGGCTTCGAGAGTAGAACTCTCGAAACCAGACATGGGTACTAGCATTACTCGCTCAGCTAGAAAGCATGCACTAGCATCTGATGACTCTGTTGAATTGGTTCTAGCATGTGCTACTAACTAGTAAGTCTGCAGAATCAACTGATGCTGATGTTATGCTTTTGTTATATATATGAGTTAGCTAGTCCGGTCTGTGTATGGTAGATTTGTTGAACAGCAGCATGGTATTAGTGTGTTGCTTCATGGTGGATCCGCAGAAAGTGAAGGGTGACACTCAACTTTGACTTTACGACAGTCACGTTCCAGCTTTGTATTGAAGGTGAGGAGTCCATCCTGACACTCAACAGGCATTACCTGTGTATACACATCATAGGTGTGTTCAGAGGCATCACTGTATGCTCGCTCACACTCCTCGAACCTGCAGTTATTGTCATGTTGGGAATCTGGAGATGTTTTGTTGGGACCTTGGTGGTTACTGCCATTAGCCAGGTCATCTAGGTCAAGTGGTGGTGGACAGGCAGGTGGAGGAGGAAGGAATGCACCCCAGTTGACCTGGACTCTAGAATCATCACCTTGATGTTGCCAGGGAATATTGTAATTCAGGTTAGGTGAAGGTGGTGTTAGTAATGCTGTTGTGACGTACAGTTCTGTTGAATCATCAAGCTCCTGCACTCGTGGTTCTGCATACTCGTTCATCTGTTTATGTGGATGGAAAAGTCGAGCTGATGACACACTAGAGTCCTTGTCACTCTCTGAGGGATGCCACAATTTATTCTCGCCATACATATTGATAGAGTTTTGATCTGGGTAGATGGACGGGTCTTGGTAGATAGTGGATACTTGAGGCGGGTTTGAGGATGAAGCTTTTTTATGGAGCTGCCTAATATACACTAAGGTGATCATGAACACCAACAATACTAGAGGTATCAGCAAGTACACTAGCCACTGTGGCTGTGGTGATGCATATATTACAGAACCACTACTGTCTACATTACCCTATGAATGATGTGGGCATCATTGGGCCCAGCATCCAGCAAGACTGGATCACTGAAGGGCCCAGGACCTGCTGCTGTAAGAGCTGCCACGCGCACAGTATAGAGATGGCCAGGTAAGAGACTGCGAGCTTCCAGCCAGGGCTTCATCACTGTCTCTGTGGTTTGGCTACCATTGTAACTTATTGTTACCTTGTAGCCCACCAACTTTCCTCGGGCATCCTCGGCACTTATATGTGACCACCTGATGAGCACAGAACTATCCTCAAGCACTGTTATGCGCACGTCTCCAGGAGCTGATGCTGGAACTGTAAAAAAAAAAAGTAGATAAACTATGTTCTGTAATATTTCTATGTAAATATACGTATATACACACAGTAGACTGTCATTTAGCACAACTTTATTTGGCACAATTTGGGTATAGCACGATTGAAGAATTGTGGCACAATTTTATGTAACACATCGTAAAATGAATTGAACACAGTTCAGTTTGTGGGAAGGAAAAAAAACATCCCTTTTCCTCAAGCGGCCACCTTGTTGTGGATCAGTGGGGGAGATCTCCCGCCATCCCCAGCCACCCCCCAACACCACCCTTTATCCCAGCATTTGTACTTCATACGTGTCCAGTCCAACTTCTCTGCTACAAGCTTGACTGACTTACTGAATGACTTGACTGATTTACTGAATGACTTGACTGACTTACTGAATGACTTGACTGACTGAATGACTTAAAGTTAGACACTCCAGTATAACCATCAACTTCAGTACCAGAACTTCTACCATCCACCTCAGCCCAGTAGGGCCACAGCATAACTCTCAACTCTCTTCACAATCATCCACAAACACCAGCATCCACAATTTAAGGTAAGAAATACTATTATTTCTGTTACATTTGCAGTCTTAAGCAGTAAAAACAACATAATGCATTACAACAATGAACTACAATTACACATTCACTTTTATTTTTGTAAGATGTGGAGGCCTAAAAAAATGTTGTTTGGCTTTTTTGGGGCTCTCAGGAACGTAACCCTATTTTTCCCATAAGTTCTTCAGTTCATCTAACACAGTTTTTTACCTAACACGGTGTTTTCAGGAATGTAACTACCATGTTAAATGACGGTCTACTGTACATCAATAACAACACTGCGACTAGCCAGGGGATCGAACCCGTGTTGCTTTACCCACCTCAAGGTGAGCAAAACTTTCATAAGGCCTTCCATGGGATTGTATGGTCACAAGGGGTGAAATTTGACTCCAAACTAACCATGAAGAACCATGTTGTAAATCTTGCAAACAAGGCAGCCAGGAAGCTTACAGCACTTCGCCGTATCTCGCATCTGCTTGACAGTAGGGGTTGCAAGATACTGTACGAGGCACAAGTACGCTCACACCTTGAGTATGCTCCACTTTCTTGGTTTGCCTGTCCCCCCTCTCATCTGCGACTGCTTGACAGAGTAGAGAACAGAGCAAGACGTCTCATCTCTCGCCTGGACCCATCCTGGATGGATCTGTCATTTCAGCAGAGCCTTCAACATAGGAGGGATGTGGGTGGCCTTACTGTTATGTACAAGCCAATATTGTCAAAATACCACACTTGGATCCACTTCGAGGACAGCGCGAAACAAGCTTTTATGCCACAAGACGGGCAGAAAGCAGCAACTTCACTCTGGCTGTACCCTTCTCCAGAACATCACTCCATCTGAGATCATACATACCCAGGATGACTCGAGTATGGAACACATTCGTTCAGCATAATGATGTCAACGAGATAACGTCAGTTGATCAAATGAAAATGCTGCCCACAGATGGCTCCAACTTCATCCTGTTCCCTACTTGTATGTCTCATAACAATAAAAATGCTTTCAAATGAGCTGATTAGGTAACAGCTCTTAGCTTGTCAATAAAGTTAGGAATCCTTAACCTGTAAATAGCTTGTCAATAAAGCTAGGATCCTTAACCTTGTCAAACCATGTGTAAAAAAAAAAAAAAAAAAAAAAAGGTGCTGTTTACACTACAGTTTTTAAACTGCAACATTAACACCCCTCCTTCAGAGTGCAGACACTGTACTTCCCATCTCCAGGAAATCAAGGACTTCATCAAGTGGGTCATTGGTGAAGTGGGACTTCAACGTCAAGTCTAAGCATCTTACAGTTGGGAGAGAGCGAACCGTTCAATGTAGTCTTTGTGAGTGATGGAGGTGGCTAGGAGAAAAAGTACCATGAAAGGCGAGAAGTAGTGTGGGTTTGGCCAGCCATGAAGCAAGAGAGAGAGAAGAACCTCTAGTGGTTTATGATAGACGAAGAGGAATATCGGTTCAGAGTTTTGGAAGGCCAATATAGAAAATAGGGAAGAGAGGGAAAGTGACACAAAAACGCCATTGAACAAGGTCAAAGTCAGGAAGTCAGTGGTCAGGAGAGTGTCTTTAGTTTTTTTTTGTTGTGAAAGTTCTCTTGATTCGATCAGAGGGTGGAAATGAGAGGGTGTTGGTGGCATGAGTCAGAGTGCAAGGGACATCAGCTTTATGGAGGTAATCCTGGGTTCGTCTATGTAGATGCCTTCCTTCCCACTACAGGTAAAATGTTTACTCAAACTTCTGATCACCGTGACTTAACCTGAATCCTCATTTTTTTCTTTTTCTTCTTCTTCCTTTCCTCTTTCCTCTTTCCTTTTTCCTCTGGGTTGTCTTTTTCTTCTCCTGTCTCGTGTTTCTGTTCTTCTTCATTTATTTCAACCACTTCCCCTTCACACACCTTGTGCGATTGCTCTCCCTCTGTGGGCATATAGCTCTCTTGTTTTTCAGTGCTTCCCCTTCCTTGTATTTGGACTGGCTCGTCTCTTCCTTTTTTCCCATCTTCTAACACTACCACTACTATACCTTTCTTTACTACTACTACAACTTTCTGATGTTAATTAAGGGACACATGTGCGGTTGTCTGGTTGTCTTTGTTGTGGAGTGCTTCGCCTATCCTGTGGCTGGCTGGATGGTGAAACGTCTTTGATGGGATGCCGGGGTGTTGTGCATGTGTCTTTATTATATGTCATATTGACTGGTATGATATTACTATTATTGTACTACACATAATAACTCTACTACCACATCATCTCTTGACATATAATAGCCGTCCTGTTGCCACTCTGGTTAGTGTGACTTTGTCAATGGTCCTTGTCGGACCGAATCGTCGTCGGTAAGCGTCCTGTCTTTTATGTGCGGGTTATTTGTGTATCGTTACCAGTCTCCGGTATTGTGCCCTTTTTTGTTATTATGGACCCCTCAGTTATGCGTTCTTATTCTCTCAACTTTTTTTTAATGTTCTTCCTTTTTAAACCCTCTTTCGTTCTTATGAGGCGCTCTTATTGCTGTTCAGGAGTCGTATTAGAATCAAGCTTGCTTCCTTCGTGACTGTCTTGCTGAACTTGTTCTGCCCTTCCTTCTCCCACTTCCTGAAAAAAAACCAACCCACTGGGCACTCCTTTCTGATCATGCCCGTCTCTTTTTCCTTCTCACCAGCTTTTCATTCTTTTTACTATATCACAGGTTGAAGTGCCTTCTTTACTTTCCGTCTGCTATCAACGTGATCTCTTTGCGGCTCTACTCAGGATCTCTGTAACTTCCTCTTTACCATTGCCTTGACCCCTGCTCGCTCTGAATGCACCAAATTCATTCTTCCAAATACAAAAATAAACTTCTAAGTCTCTTCTAGTAGCCCTTGGTCTAAATTCTCCTCACTGACTGTGTTTGACTAATCTGTTCTTCTGTCTCACTCTTCTGTTATGAGCTTGAACTTCTTGGTTTTGGGCCTCTTTCCTTTGCCACTTTGCCTACTCCTTGCGTGGTTATTTCCTGTTTTGCTCTTTTTGATTCCTTTCGTCAATCTCGCTTCCGTAATCTTCATGTACTTGTCCACTTTTCGTGCGTTGTCTCCCTTCCTGCTCTTGTTAGTCTGTGTGTCTAAAGATTACACCTACGCACCGTTACCAACTTGCCGTTCTTCTCAAAAATTAAGGATTCTCTCCGGACCTCTGTCCTCCTGACTTTGCCTTGTTCAACGGTTTGTGTCATCTGTCCCTCTCTTCCCATTTCTATGGCCTTCCACAAAACTCATAAACCTGATATTTCTCTGCGTCCGATCAATCTCTAGAGGTTCTGTCTCTTATCTCTTGCTTCTTGGCTGGCAAACCCTTCACTCCCTTTCTTGTACTGTTCTCCTGCCTCTCCGTCACTCTCAAAGACTTCATTGAACGGGTTCGCTCTCTCCAACTGTAATGATGCTTAGGTCTTGACGTTTGAGTCCCTCTTCACCAATGTCCCTCTTGATGATGTCCCTTGATTTCCTTAGAGAGAAGCCATGAAGGGTTTCTTCATCTCCTATTCCCACTAATGTCTTCTTGATCTGGATCCACCCTCTGTGTGGACTCTAACTCCTTTTCCTTCTCAAGGGAGTTATTATTCTCAAATTCTTCGCGTGTCGCTATGGGCTCTCCTCTCTCTCCTGTCCTTGATAATCTTTACATGGATATTCTTCGAGTCTGTTTTCCTACCCTCGATGTTGCAACCTTCGCTCTGGCCCGCTATGTGGATGACATCTTTGCTTGTGGCCTCATGACTCAGTCTCTTCCAACCTTTTCTTGAAGCTCCTTATAATCTTGCCGCTTCCATTATGTTTTATATGCTGAATGGGAATTTATTCACTTGCTTCCTTTCCTTGTTTGTCCATGTTCCACGCTCAGATACTGGTTTTTCCTTTTTCCGTTTACCATTATCCTTGCACAGTGGTTGTACATTCACTACGTTTCCTATCATGCTTCCCCTTTGTCAAGAAAATCGTGTTCTTGTCTCCCTCTTTCTCCATTGCCTCCGCATCTGTGTCCTCAGTTCTTCCAGCGGAAATTTCCACTCTCTTAATTCGTTCTCCCGTTTTGGTACCCTTTCCATTTCATAGACTCTGCTCTCTCACGTGCTGACGCAATTTCTTCTCTACCAAACTCTTGAACTAATGGAACTCTTCATCTTCTGCCTTCCTACATTCGGTCTTTCTATTCTCAACAAATTCTCTCTTCCCTAAGTCATCAAGTTACCTTCACCAGACTAAACACTCTTCGCACTTAATCTCGTTCATATCTCCTCCCTCTACTGTTGTTCCTGAGTGTTACTCTATTCTTGCTCTCCTGTCCTCTTCAATACTTCGGAGTGAAACTGGTCGATCTCTTTCTGTCAGACTTAGGGTGCACAAAAATAGTGTTGGGCTTGCCGAACACTAACAATGTCTTTTTCTGTCTACGTCAGAGTTCATAGACATCCAATTGAATG